GACAAGGAATTGGTAAACCAGGTGCCAGACCCTGTTAAGTCATGAAGTTCAGCCTGTAACTGTTGACCAAATTCCTTTTGGCTTATTGTACCACACAGGACAAAATTGCTGAGAGGGCTTTATATATGCTGCCCCAAGTAATTAATTCATAAAGATGCCAATCAGGTGGCCCCAGAACTTAGGGCATAGACTTGAGTCTTGGGGCTGGGCCTCTCTTCTGCAGTCAAGGTCAAGGAGAAGGTGTTTCAGAGCAAGAGCAGTGCCTGGAAAGTAAATGTGTTTCTGTATGTGTGTACATAATATGAGTGCGTGTTGCTGACCTTGCTGCAGACTGCTTTGGAATGTAGACTCTCCAGAGGGTCCACCTGGCCTATTCCTCCTTTCCTTCTTCTCCTTCACAAGCATGATGAAGGACTATCCCTAGGTCTCAAGGTTTGGGTCTTGGAATCTCAGCGTCTGGTATGCTCCTGACCTTGATAGACCTTTTCTTTTTCTTTCTGTATAAGAGATGACAATTGCTAGTTCTCTAGGGCTTATTCTGTTGGTCCATGCCCAGAGTACCTACTTTTGACAAAAAAGTCTCATTGCTGAACCATAAAATCTAATATGTATTGTTCTATGGCACTGCTTCCATCTTATCTTAGATCCTAGCAATATTGCATCTCCACAATATATATTGGGCCAACAAAAGGGAGAGAACTGTGGAAACAAGAATCAGATCTTTCTGGTTTTCTAGACATCTGTTAGTTAAATCTCATTTGTACAAGTTAAGAGAAAGCCTTGGTTATAAGGACAGTAAGCCTGCACTTACCAAGTAAGCCTGCACTTATTCACTTGCTAAGGGCATGTCTACACTAGGGGGGCATACTCATCCCAAATCTGGTGAGATCAGTCCAAATGACATACAGCCAATTCTGCAACCAAACTGCTTCTTTCATTCTTTACTCTGATATAAGGGAACACACCAGTTACTCTGGAGCTTCCAAGAAACTCCAGAGTGACCTCAATGTTTTGGAGGTGTGGACACCCAGATTAGGCTGGATTCAGGTAGGTGGCAATTGTTGTCATTTTTTTTCCAAAGGGCCACTGCTACTTGCTTTGAACCCAGCCACTTGTGGGGGGCTTTTTTTCCTCAAGTCCTCTACTGTCGCTGCACTCCCAGGCAAGCATCCCGCCAGTAGAGGCCCACTGTTAACATGTCGCTTCTTACCTGGTGTCAGAATTAGGTGCCCAACCATATGATCAATGACAAGGGAGTTATTCTACTCTCTCCTGATTGATCACAAGGCTGGGTGCTTTGTTCTGACCTGACCAGAAGCGACCTCACCCTGAAGGGTCTTCTGACAGGAACCTGCTTTTGTGGCCAGTGAGACAGCAGAAACAGCAGCAGTACACGGCGGTGGCCCTGAGGAGGACAGGGCACTGGTATTGATGCACAGTTGGCCT